TTTTTTTTTTTTTTTTTTGTGTGTGTGTGTGTGTGTGTGTGTGTGACTGGGTCTGGGTTACCTCACTCAGATGGTTTCTTCTAGTGTCATCCATTTGCCTGCAAATGTCAAGATTCCATTGTTTTTTTTCCGATGAGTAGTACTCCATTGTGTAAATGTGTCTCATTTTCTCTATCCACTCTTTGGTTGTGGGGCATCTAGGTTGCTTCCAGGTTCTGGATATCATAAATAAAGCTGCTAGGAACATAGTTGAGCAGATGTCCTTATTGTATGAATTTGCTTCTTTTGAGTATATGCCTAGGAGTGGAACTGTTGAATCTTGTGGTAGACTGATTCCCACTTTCCTGAGGAATCTCCATACTGATTTCCAAAGTGGCTTTAAGAGTTTACACTCCCATTAGCAGTGGAGCTGTTTCCCCTTTCTCCACATCCTCTCCAGCACAAACTGTCATTGGTGTTATGATTTTAGCCATTCTGTCAGGAGCAAGACTGTATCTCAGAGTTGTTTTGATATGTATTTCCCTGTTGCCTAAGGATTTTGAGCACTTTCTTAAGAGTGTTTCAGCATTTTTAGATTCCTCTATTGAGAATTCTATATTTTGTTCTGTACACCACTTTTTAGTTGGATTATTTGGTGTTTTGGTTACTATCACCTTAAATTCTTTGTATATTTTGGAAACTAGCCTTCTGTCAGATGTGGGGTTGGTGAATATCTTTTCCCATTCTGTAGGCTGCCGTTTTGTCTTGTTGACTGTGTCCTTTGCCTTACACAAAATTCTCAGTTTCAGTCTTATAGACTGTGTGAGAACTTTCAATTCATGTGTTTTATAGAGAAGGCTTCTGAGGCAGACTTTTCTTGCCCTAAGTACTTCTAATTTCACAATTCTTAGCTTAGAAACTCTTTTCTCAAGGAACTTTATCACAGATGTTACACTATACTACCCACCTAAAATCTCCATGATGAAAGAATCTTAAAGACAGACTTTTGGAGCCCATTCCACATGGAGGGTTGCTAAGTCGGGACACATGGGGGAGGACCTAGGCCTACCTAGGATGATTTGATAGACTTTGGAGATCCCCCCATGGAGGGTCTCACCATCCCTTGGGATCAGAGGAGGGCTTGGGGAGTTTGGGAGTTGGTAAGGGGCAGGGGAGGAGGGGCAGGAGAGAGAGATGGGATTGACATGTGAAGCAAGCTTGTTACTAATTTAAAAAATAATAAAATATAAGATAATAAAAAAGAATATTATATTCCTGGAAACTGCCTGGGCTGAAGTTCTTTTTTAAAACAAATTTGAAATTGCATTAAAAAGTGATCTTGGCTTCTCCCCAAATCCTAAAAGAATATTCAGGGCAGGTATACCAGGAGCAATTGTAAAGAACCTCCTTTTTCATATTAAAGTAATGTTTATGATTGCTAAGAAACCCATTTTTCTTTTGAAAATATTAGAGGTTTGGTATTCAAAACACTATGCTAGTGGTTGAGTAATTGCTTGACATGTGTAAGAACTTAGGTTCAATTCTTAATATCCTACAATAATGCATACATTTCATGACTCATGCATAACCTGTTATGAACTAGTGTATACAAAGTATTTTGACAAATACAAAAAATTCACTTAGTTAACAACTCTAGAAACAAATTTACAAAAAGTATTACCTGGAAGTACCCAGACAATACTGAATAATGCAAGTCTCTGAAATTAAAACAATAAATGTAGAAGTAAAGAAATAGCCTGAGTTATACATAAGCAAACAACAGCACACTATTTGAATCAACCTGTAGATCTTCTTGATAAAATTGTTTGCATTACTCCAGAGGAATCTGCTGTAACATTGCATTGATATGTGGCTCTTGGCTCAGTTGTAAAAGTAACCCCCATTTCCATATCTTGGAATACCATACTGTTTGGGTACAAGATATTGAGGGGCAAGTATTTTAGTAATTTGTCAACAAAATGCCAGTGTTCATATTTACTATTGGATATAAAGATTAAGGTATGATTCTAACTTGTTGAAATAATGGACATTTACAAACGTAGAATCTTAAAATTATTTTCATTGTACCTGTTTATCAACATTGGATAAATTATGAAAGGTTTTATTTTCTTAAAGCAATGACATAAATGACAATCTGATTTACCTTCTTTATTCTTCACTGATGCCCCAGACAGATCCTCTAGTTCTTAAGTTACTTATAGCTATTAAAATCACCTAAGGCAGTTTTAAATTTCCCAAAATGTACACTGGCAATTCTCACAATTTCCCAAGTTTCAAAATCACATGGGAGAAGGGGGTTATTAAAATAAAAATTATCAGGTTCTATCTCATACATTTCTGTTTGAGGGCTGTAGAAGAGCTGGTGAGCCTCTGTTTCTGGTAAGTCCCAGGTGTCTTCATCATTTTTATATCATTATCATTATTATTATTACATCACTTATTTGAATCATCTCTCTTGCTTCTTGTAAGCTCTTACACTGTATCTCTCTGCATGTTAGAGTTTGAAGGAGCTGACGGAAAGAGAAAGGCTTGCTTTCTTAGCTGTATGCTGCCCAAGAAAGGTTCTCCCTCATGTTACTGTACTCTAAAATCACCACTCACTGTTGCTATCTCTCAACATCCCAGTATCCAAGTAACAGTCTCTTGGGATACCACATATAGTGACTTTTTGAAGCATATGTACTTTCTCACTGTATAATTTCTTGGTTTGCTACTCTGGCTTGACCTCTTTGTCATTTACCTGTGTTGTGGTTTGTATCTTCTAAAGGTCCATGTATTGGAGGCTGTCCAGGGGTACATTGGGAATTGCTTCCCTAGTTTAGCCACCCAGACACAAGAGGTCATTCTTCAGCTATGGTCCAAGTGGGACTGACTGGTTTTCAATTGGTGGAAGATTTTGGTGTTATATTTATGATGCTGGCTTGGCAGAATTCAATGTATGAGTCATAGAAGCTGCCCCTGAGATTTCAAAGGAACATCTGGGAAGCCAGGCAATGAATTGTAGGGTCAGGTTCGTTGCAGGTGGCCCTCAAGAGGGCGGTTCATAGATCTGTGAAGATAAAGTGACAGATGGTAACAATATATTACCAGGCATGTGCTAATGTATTATTTGTGATTTATTAAAGCCTGCCTGAGGATTCAGA